CAACAAACTGTTAAACTTTTGTGTTCAAAAAGGTTCACACATTAATATTTCAATTTTATATGTGAATGAACAAATTCCAATGATTTAGTTTATACTATTTGTAAAAGTGATTTTCGAAGATATAAAGAAAAACAACTGTGTGATTTACTTTACTTACCGGTAAGATAAAGAACCATATCCACAAGTTGCTGGGGGTCGTCTTCGCCTAGTAACCGCTACTCCACAAGCGCTCTTCGTCGTCCATTGATATAGTTTCAGTTTTCTTCCTGGCAGAGCTGCCCAGTCCTTTTTTTAGAAAGTTCCTTCATTAAAGCGTCCAGAAATGTTCTGCTCTCTCCAAACTGTTGATCCTCGAACAGATTAATGTCCTTTCGCCCTTTAAGCCTCAAGCCACTCTGAAGAGCGGTAAACAGTCCATGTACAGTATCCGCCATGTACTGGGTGCCATCCAGTTTCCTCGCCTCAAAAAGGAAATATTTGAAAGCGGTGTTCATAGTAGATAGGCTCATTTCGACTATATCCTCTGTCAAGCACTTTTGCGGTAATTCCAAATTGTCCGCAATTGACCGTGACTTGCGTTCTTCTTGCCACCATTTAAATGTTGAGAATGCCCAGTCATTTTTATAACGTGTTGTTCTAGGGACACAGATCTCAATTTTCTTGGCTATTTCACGCTCGGAGAGTGGATCTCCAAAACGGCATCATTCTTAAACGTGACCATAACCTCATACTTGCTTTTATTTGCTTCCAAGTGAGGAATTTGTGTGAGAAGCTTCTCCTTCAGATGAGTTGAGTTTTTGCGCCCTGACATATTGCTGCCAAGTTGTTCAAGTCATGATCTGTAAAGTCGTACTAGGCTTGACAGCTTGAATATGTGTTCTGTATGCTCATCCACCTGACGAGTCTCTTCAACGTAGGACACCAATTCTGCGAATGCTATAGCATCAGGGGTTAGATCTGAATTTTCCTTCGATTCCACTTTCCTGATGTGTGCGCGATGTCTCTTGCTGTAGTCAGTCAAACACTGTTTGTGGTATATGGCATCTATTGCAGTCATTTCTCCAGAGGAGAGCTTTGCTGTATGATAATCATCCTCCACTTTTTCATCACAAAAGAAGCAGAGATTTTCTTTAGCTTGGCAGGAGGTTCCAGGAAACGCACAACGCAGTTTACCTTTGAGTGGAGAAGTTTCTGGTTTAGGATCCTCTAGTTTGGCAACCTTCTTGCGAGCATGCTCAACTTTATCTTGGTAAAACCTCGTGTAGCAATTTTTGTGCCATCTTGCATTGTGTTGAAAGAGGGTTGCAGCGATACCTTGACCGCCATCCAAACGTGACAACTGTATGTTCATCGGCAGGGCACCAAGCGAGTGTAGCTCCTGGATGTGCTCAACTAACGATTCATAGCCTTTGGACTGATTTACATTCTTGCATTGGGACGGGTCTCTCAGGGGTTCAGTTGAACCTTTCTGGCACAGGGCACACAGCGTCCAGTCTGTTTGGGTAAATACCGGGTGATGGGCAGAAGTACTGTCAAGCTTTATTTTCTTGGTCGCCATCGCTCCATATAGCTTGGTTGTATTGGACAAGTCTTCAACGCTCATTCTACAGTCTAAAGAACCCTGTTAAAATCTCAATTCCTGAAAAGAATCGTAATATTCGTTAAGTTCGTTTCAATATTTATCAGAAATCTATATCAAAAGTTTCAAATTCTGCAAATTAAGCACATCATCAAATTAATGCTTATGCATGCATTCACCAGGTGTACTATGGATATGATTTTCCTGAAAAATAAATGAAAAGAGATTTATAAATAAATGTTTGGATGGAGTTTTAATTAAAATTGTTCACCCTTCAAAAAAGCATTATTTGTCATTTACACAAGTTGTTACACGGATGGCAGCCATCTTTGATCTTGTTCTGGATGCATTTTACAGTATTATGTCTCCCCCAGATTTGAGGGAGACATATTGTTTTTGGCACGGTTCCTGTCGGCGTCGGCGTCGGCGTCGGCGCGGCGTCGGCATTCCCACCGTTTCCGGACCATAACTCAGAAACCGTTGAATATCTTTTCGCGAAACTTTGTATACACATTAACCCAGCACTGAAGTGGTGCCTTTTGCTATTTAGAGATTTTTGACATTTTTATTTTTTCTCGTTTCCATGGAGATAACTTGAACATAGACTCTGAATGGGGGTAAGCTTTGTTTCCGGACCATAACTCGGAAACCGTTTAATATTTTTTCGCGAAACTTTGTATACACATTAACCCAGCACTGAAGTGGTGCCTTTTGCTATTTAGAGATTTTTGACATTTTTATTTTTTCTCGTTTCCATGGAGATAAGTTGAACATAGACTCTGAATGGGGGTAAGCTTTGTTTCCTGAACATAACTCAGAAACCGTTTAATATTTTTTCGCGAAACTTTGTATACACATTTACCCAGCACTAAAGTGGTGCCTTTTGCTATTTAGAGATTTTTGACATTTTTATTTTTTCTCGTTTCCATAGAGATAACTTGAACATAGACTCTGAATGGGGGTAAGCTTTGTTTCCGGACCATAACTCAAAAACTGTTCAATATTATTTCATGAAGTTGTAACATATTAACCAAGTCCTGAAGTGGTGCTTCTTGCTATTTAGAAGTTTTTCACATTTTATTTTTCTTGTTTATGGAGACAAGTTTAACTTAGACTCTGTATTGGGATGGGCTTTGTTCCAGAACTAAACTCAACACCCCTTCAATATTTCTGTGTCTTTTGCTTATAATGAAATTTAAGAATTTGATCTTTTCAATATTATTGAATTCAAAGCAATTCTAGAATTAAAATATTGTGAATTACTTTTGTGGGAATGAACAGATGGGGTTTAACGTGAAGTAAACGAATGAATGGGGGTTAGGGGAGTGGGGGGAGACATATGTTTTTACGAGTAAAAACACTTTCTAGTTTTAAACTATTTCATTGCATTCCTTGGCCCCGAAAACCTATTCTTTGCCACCAAGATCATGTTTCTATGTCAAATAGATCCAAAGTTATGGAATACGTTTTGTAATACGGATGGCGGCCATCTTGAATTTCTCAATTTTTGAGTAGGAACCATTGGTTTGCCAGCGTGGATCCCATTAAAATCGGATTCTGCATACTCCATAACCCCTATATACAAATTTTCACCCTTTCTTCCAGAAGTGAACATCTTGGCCTTATATTGTTACATATCTGCCGAGCTACAACATCTTATTGTCCGGTCCGTTGTCTACAGGAATTTATTCATTGTAGGAGGGCCATGGGAGCTGCTCAGCATGATCCTTTGTTTGTTAATGAGCAGAATATTCCCCTTACCAAGCCTTTCTTTATTAAAAAATTAAAACAAACCTTGTCTATGGCAGGATATGACCAAGAGAAATACAACGGTCACTCATTTCGTATTGGTGCTGCTACCTCCGCTTCTACGGCTAATATTCCAGACCATCTGATCAAGACTCTAGGCAGGTGGTCATCAGATTGTTATGTTCGATATATAAAGATGCCCAAATCATCCATAGCGCAGTCTCAGCGTGCGATGGCAAAAAATAGGGGTAACTACTTGTCCTAGTTGTATATATTTATGCCTTTGGGGATTCTCAGTCAATTCTTTACTTCGATTTTTGGTATATTTACCCCTGCAGTCATTAGGATGGGATGCATTGGATACCTGTTGTCAGAACACAGGTCAGGCTTGACCTCCATGGTATTTAGCATCCAATGCGTTCGATCTGTAACTCTCGACAATTGATCCCAACAGCTTGGGCCTGACCGATGCTCAGTCAGATACACTTAAGTCGGGTACATGTAGTCGATATGTGTTTATACCCAATGCTTGGGGAGGTTGTCAGTTGTGCAAGGCGAATCAATTCTTAGCTGGGCATGACTGATGCTCAGTCATGTACATGTACCTTTTTCTAGTCACATGTGTATACAGTAAACCACGGTTATAACGAACACACTTATAACGAACTGACAGATATACCGAACTTACTTTTTTGTCCCTAAAATTTGCTGTAGTTATGCTGTATACATGTATATGCTTATAACGAACTACGGTTATAACGAACCAAAATTAGTGGTCCCTTTGAGTTCGTTATAACCGTTGTTTACTGTAATTTGCAGTGAGAATCCCCTTACGCCAAACTTTGTTAGGTTGTGTTATATTGAATGTGTCTCAGGTATTAAATCATTGTTGCAAGTTTTGTGTTGAATTGTCATTATAAACTTAAAACGTTTTGACCAGCCCTCATATATAGCATGTTCCCACCAATGATGACACCTGAATCTGTTACAGCAGATAATCTAGACTGATTATTCCCTGGCATTGACATTATATTTTCAAGAGGTTTGGAACTGATTTTCAATATGGCTGGCATGGCAGTTATATTGAAAAAAATGCTTATTTGTGATCAAAATGTACTGTAATATTCTTACTTACTCTCAAAATGCAGCTTTTTCCCCTGTATACGTTTTTTTATTTATTAGTTTACAGATCCACCAATAATTTAAAATGGAGAGAAAAACTTCAAATCATTTTTTAACGTAAATAGATTAAAAAAACTACAGTGAGAATAAAACAAATATCATAAATGCCATATACTATGACTTGTTTAAAGTCATATTTGAGCAACAATGCTGACAGACACCTGTTTTGGTGGTTGTCTCTGTTGACATTATAGGTGAGCTACAGTGCATGACTAGGAAACCGAAAATACTGGTTGTTTGTTGTTGTTTATTGAAACATTATTATTTAACTGTTGTGTATTGCAACAAATTTAACTGTTGTGTATTGCAACAGTTTTCTACAACAGTACATTAATTCTTGGAAATCTTGAAACATGTGAAAATATTTGATAAGCAAAACTGACAGCAGTTTTCATAAGAGGCTGTTTGCGGTCAATTTAAACTGTTAACTACTTATCCAGGTGAGTTATTGTGCATGGCACTATTTATGTTTACTCTGATCTATTTTCAGAACGCCATTGAGGGAAAATTGCAGCAGGCAACCGACTGGCTTCAAGATCCAACAGCTCTGATTGGAAGTGCAGGTGTGTATGAGTCAGTGGATGTCACCATGAAAGGTTTCAATTTGCTTATGAATTTTACAATGGATTTCATTGATAGCTCATATAGTCAAAGGTAGGTGGTTCGATCACCTGACCTCCTCAAACCAAAGGACATTAAAGGATGGTACTTGTTGTTACCCATTAAAGGGACACTATGCTTAAGATATGTATCATAGTATGTGTGTTGTTACAGGCAATATTGGGTTCAGGCATATAAACACATGATGCTCTTTATTTCAGGAGACAAAGCTTTGAGACAAATACTTGAAGATTCAAAAAGGATTGCTGACAGATGCACTAATCCTGCAGAGAGAGAAGCCATTCAGAGAAAAATTAGTGATATTGAGTCAATGTCCAATGCCTTGTCTGAACTACGCCAGCAGGGCAAGGTACTTGTCATTCTTATTTAGCAGAACCCTGTTATATGTTTTGCTCAAATTTGAGCTCTGTCGCTGTAATTGTTTTTCTCGGGCACATGTCTATGATAGGTGTTACACTGAATACACGATGTTTCTTTATATACCCTGGGGAATCTAACACATGATTGGATAATATTGAAGGTAAAGGTCACTCAGAAAGTATGAGGCATAAAAAAAGCTGACCATTGTTTTAGTATTTCAGATTGGAATTTGATGACACTTTGTACACCTGATTCCTGTGATGATGTGATATTTTGATCCATTTCTAATGACCAATGAAGGTCAAGGCCAACAGAAACCTTATTGCCAAACTTTAAACAATTGATGTTAATTCATGATAATACAAAACAATTTTCAATGATAAATTATGCATGAGCGCTTTCTTCCATCCTTGTTGTCTGAAGTGCTGCAATTTGCTGTGCAGAGTTTCTTCACTTAGGCCAGAAACTGTGATTGTGGGTTTGAATTCACAGTTCACCGTGATTGTTGCTAGGCTCGTCAGCACCATACCTGTTCTTGTGGGTTTCATCAATGTCTAAGACATACATCACGGAAGTCTTTACTGTCGCATCACCATACCACCCCTGACATGCCATAATGTAACTGAAATACTGTTCAAAGTGTTAAACCTAACTAACTCACTCACTTACTTCTATGCTTGTCATATGTCATGGCCATTCACACATTGATAGAGTTTAACAGTATAATTAAGCAGCTCCATGTAAATGTGCATGCTTTTAATATCTGAATTTGACTGCAACTGTCAACACACTTTGGACATCCAGGGACATACCATGTATATCTCCTTTATGACCAGTCTTGTTTGAGGGCAAAGGTCATCCTTGGGGTCTTGGCTTGAAGAAATGTGTGTGTAAACAATTAGTCATAAAGTGTATGTAGTCTGACTCTGTATCATCACAGGCTCTATATTATCACGGGCTCTATGTATTATCACGGTAGCATAGTTTCTGGATTGTTTTTGAAGTTGAATTACCCCTACCTCCATTTGACATGCAAAGTTTTTGTAATACATATGTTTGAAAAGAACATTTACTTTACCGTATTTTCCTGAGTATAGTGCACACTTTTTTTCCAAAAAACACAGCTGTGTAGAAGGGGGTGCGCATTATACACGAATTATGAGTTTTGATGTTTTTTCCACCCATGGAAAGACATTACCGTGAGCACGTAACACCGGAAATACCATGTCAACAAATCCATACTGAAGTATTGCTGTGTCCGGCTTAGTTTACGAGAAAATACACAAGGTAATCTTAATCCCTGGATATAAAACAATGCCTAGTAGAACAAAAAATACAATTTAAACGGTAAATCAACATGTCTGTCTGGTGATTTTTTATCTCAAATTTCGAATTTGTACTGACAAAGTTTCTCATCACCCGTTCGTTTGCCGGACTTCACTGAAAGGGTACGGTGTAATTTTTTTCTGCGCATAATATTCAAATTTTTTTTTTTCCAAAATATTGAATCCACTAGAGGGGGATGCACACTATACTCAAGAAAATACGGTATATATTTAACACATTTGTTTTTCTTATGTCTTAACAGGGAAACAGTCCTCAGGCCATCAGTTTAGCTAAGGAAATTCAGAGCAAGCTCAAGGAGCTTCAGCAGATGACTCACAATGGCATTATGAATACAGAAAGAAGTGGCATCCGCAAACCTGCGCCAACTGTTGAGGGGAAGGTGGAACAAGCACGCCAGTGGTTAGCTAATCCTGGAATCAGTGACAGTGGACTTGGTATGTGTTCCAATGTGCAATGAAAAGACCTTTAAGCTGTTGATGTTATTGATTCATAACACAGGCAAAATACAACATCAAGTTGTCCAGGGACACCCTCCTGACCGCTGTTTGATAAGCTTGTCATCTCACAGTCCCACACTGACCGCTGTTTGATAAGCTTGTCATCTCACAATCCCACACTGACTGCTGTTTGATCAGCTTATCATCTCACAATCCCACACTGACCGCTGTTTGATAAGCTTGTCATCTCACAATCCCACACTGACTGCTGTTTGATAAGCTTATCATCTCACAATCCCACACTGACTGCTGTTTGATCAGCTTATCATCTCACAATCCCACACTGACCGCTGTTTAATAAGCTTGTCATCTCACAATCCCACACTGACTGCTGTTTGATCAGCTTATCATCTCACAATCCCACACTGACCGCTGTTTAATAAGCTTGTCATCTCACAATCACACACTGACCGCTGTTTGATAAGCTTATCATCTCACAATCCCACACTGACTGCTGTTTGATCAGCTTATCATCTCACAATCCCACACTGACCGCTGTTTAATAAGCTTGTCATCTCACAATCACACACTGACCGCTGTTTGATAAGCTTATCATCTCACAATCCCACACTGACTGCTGTTTGATCAGCTTATCATCTCACAATCCCACACTGACCGCTGTTTGATCAGCATATCACACTGATGACGACTGAGCAACTTCTCAACATGCATGGCTTTGAGGCTTTTGCACAGAAGAAGACCCATGAAGATCCGGGGTAGAATAGGTCTTCAGCACCCTTGCTGGTCGTAATAGGAGACTAACCAGAACAGTTGTCAGGCTCGCTGATTAATGCATGTCATTGTATACCAATTGCGTAGATTGATGCTTATGGTGTCAATCACTGGATTGTTTGGTGTGGCGTTTGGGTGAGATGTTATTTTTCTGTTCTTGGGAGCACAGCACAGGAGTTTCCACTACCTTTTTATATGAGATGAGCAATTAGTATGAATCAGGATAAGGTAAAATTTGTATTTGTATTCTTGCCCGCTCCAAGGGATTACACGGAGTAGTAAGCTACCCAAAGGGAATTGTGTAATGATGGCATTTGGCAGGGTCTCGCCCACACTTGGTGATTTTGCAAAATGATTGTCATGTGACTGAAAGTCAAATGAGCTTATGTCATGGTACATTGTCGGTCATCCAGTTGTCGACCTTCCGTTGGTAACTCTTGCATGTTTAGCTCACCTGACAAAGTCATCTGTTAACATCTCCACTGCAACTACAAGACTTATGAAGCTGAAACTTTGTATAAATGATTCCACCTGTGGTGTCCAAATAGAATTCTCAATAGGTTCTGATCTGACATGGCCATCATGGCATTTTTGTGTATATTATTATGAAATCTAATATGCAGCAAGTATGTTGTATAACATAGTATATGTCTTTTATATATACTCTTCAAAAAAAGAAACTTGACACTGACTCTCAAAATGTAATATAATGCGATTGTTTCAAAATAGGACACAGAAACCATAATTGAAACACTGTTTGAAGATCGATGTACACAATGTTCAAAACATTAATCGTGTCACCTAGACAGACACACGTACACGATACAGTTAATGTCACAGGGGTACAGAAAATGTCTCTATCGGTTGTGCCCACCACATGCATCAATCACCGCTTGACACTGACAACCCATAGATGCAGTCAAGTTGTCAATAACACGATGTTGGATGTGCTGCCATTCATGCTGACGTGCATCAAGAAGCGCCGGAAGTGTTTGGGGCGGTGGATTCCTTCTGCGAACGCGTCGATCCAACCCGTACCACAGATGCTCAATTGGGGACAAATCTGGTGACCGGGCTGGCCAAGGTAATGTCTAGGTGTTGTTGTGCTGTAAGAACTCCTGACAAACACGTGCAATATGCGGTCGAGCGTTGTCCTGCTGGAACGGTCCGCCATGAATGTTGACGTGAGGAAGAACGTAAGGCTGTAGGATCAAGTCTCTGTAACGCACACCTGTCAATGCACCTGCCACATGTACGAGAGGCATCCTACCACTGTGATGAATTCCGGCCCATACCATGACACTCCCGCCGCCAAATGGGACAACCTGCTGCACACAGTTGGGGGCGTAACATTCACCCCGACGTCTGTAGACACGTGCAAGCCCATCAGCACGTGTGAGTAGGAAACGGGACTTGTCAGTAAACAGTGCATTTCTCCACCTTGCACGTGCCCATCTAACCCTCTGTTGGCACCAAAGCAGACGGTCCGCCAGATGATGTGGGGTCAATACATGACGTCGAACAGGTCTTCGTGCAAAAAGTCCAGCCTCCCTCAGTCTGTTACGTACCGTTTGATCTGATATTCTGTCAAGTTTCCTTTTTTTTGAAGAGTATATTTTGATTTATCAATCTGTGACCTTTAATCTTTTACTACTGTGTTACTTCTTTTTGGACATTTCATTTAAATTTCAAGGCCTATGGATCTGAAATTGTTACAAGTAATCATGTATATGTAACATTAACACTGTCCCATAGCAATATGCACCGTTTGTTTCTTGTTCACTTCAGATTTGAAATCTGCATTTTTTAGGTGAAGAGGCAACCAGGATGGTAGTGAGTGAAGGTCGTCGGGTAGCCCAGTGCTGTTCTGGACCTCAGCGACAGGAATTACTGCGTCTGTGTGATGAGACAGAGATCCTTACTAATCAACTGTCGGACTTGTGTAGAAAGGGACAGGTGAATTCTCTTTTTCATCTCACCCTTTTGTCCAGTTTAGAATTTATCCGAAACAATTTACTTCACTGTTGTAGTCGTGTGAGAACATAATTCCCTCAGAAACCTCTGGACCAATGCAGCTGAATCTTCACATGCATGTTCCCACCAATGACAACACCTAGATTCGTTCAGAGTTACAAGTCCGAGGGTCAATATGGCCCCTAATGTAACCACATTGATAAACCTCTTTCTTGCCATGATTCAGATATATCTGGCCTGTCGTCCATAAAGGTTTTACATTTTCAACCCATTTTTGCAATGAATTGATGGATTCAGCTAAATTTGGTGTGGGTGTTTGTTACTATAATTTTTTTCAATACATCCATATTGGAATTTCTGTAGTGGTACTATTGACCTTTTTCACACTTTCGCCATCTTGGATCGAAAACGAGGCTTGGAGAGCATTGCTCCATGCAGTGAGAGTCGCATCAGCTCATAGGGAATAGATAGCATGTTGTGCATTTCACTGATGGACATTTCAAACAAACAAAAAATGGTATCCTCTGTATATAATACAGATGATATTTCACATTAAATCATGAGGTCTAACTAAAATATGCCTGTAATACACTGGAATTAGCATTTTGCTGTCAGGATCCCGGAAGTGAATCGAAAGGTGCATTTCGAGATACGTATTTCAGAAATAGATTGTTTTCTCATAACCTCGTCGGCATATAGGTACAATGTGACAGTACATTCAATGACAGAAGTTTTCTATCGTAAATAAACGGCATAACATGAAACACGTCAGTGTACTTTTGCAAAATTGCTCAGTCAATGCGTGGCTTGGCGAACTCTAGATCAAGATTGAGATCATGTTTATTTCACGTTTCATAGTGGTGTTTGCTGCACAACGCACTATCGTTTTGCCATGAGTCCAGTTGACAAAAGACACTTTTTCTGCTATGATTTTCATTTTAACATATTACAATGTTAATTATGAAAATAATTCGTGTGTCAAAATAAATATTCAGAAGGGGCGATAACCCTATTCAGTGTGTACAATGACAGATGATACTTTACTTGTTCTTCAAACATCACTTACTTAACTGATTATTGCCGATTGTGATTGCACCGTGCACTACAAAAGTAATAATGTGTGAACTGTTTAAAATAAGTTAAACGGAAACTAAAAATTGATAAATATAAATAATGCATGAAATTGAAGAAATATAAGAATTGATACAACTACCAACTTCTTGAACACCCTCACCTAATCCTGTATGATGAAAGGTAATTGTATATCAAAAGGAAGCTACTAATACATTTATCCTGAATAGTTTGAAAATGTCTTGATCAGATATGAGTACAGATAAAATAACAAAAGATAAAAAGGAATCAACTTCAACTGGTAATCAAGCAAAGATAAAATATATGTATCGGTACAAATTATGTTGATGGAACAATCTGGATTTCTCATATTTGACAAAGAAAAACAAACCAAAATTTTCATATCTTTATTTCTCACAATATAAGTTTTCAAAACTTAACATGGACTGGGTGTCTTTATCAGTCAAAAGCACCTAATTAAATTCCAGGAGAAAATAATTTTCTTGCTTGTAAACAAATGGTACAATGTGCTTTTTCAGTGTCCGATAAATATTGGCCATGTTGATTTGTGAGTGAATAAGGCTTTTCAGTTCCTCGTCCTATTTAAGAGAAATGTGACAGGAACCACATTTGTTGATTGAATGAATATGGCTTTTCACTTCCTCGTCCTTTGACAGGACGCACATTGTAACCATTGTGTTACTGTCAGCAGAAAGCTCCTCCAGACATCCGTCACCGGATACTAGTACTTCATTGTGTTGACTCCTACTTCAATAACATTTTTTATAAACAATGCATATTCACCTTCTCTCAAAATATTGCTTATTGAGAAAACAACATTCTTCTGAAATAGAGAAGTTTAAGGAAAATTAATCACAGTGTGTAACATTACATGCTACATGTACTTTAGAACAATCTTGAAGGCATCAATTCATCTGATATGTCAAAAACTCAAACAGTATATTCTGTGTAAAGGGTAAACTCAACAGATGCATCAATTTAATGACAGTGTACTACAGCTCTTTATATCAATGTCACACAGAAATTCACTCTTGTTTTAATGAAACACGTTTTGATATTTGTATGACCGGTATGTATTTAATCATGACCATGCTGAAAACATACTTTCGCTTGTCACACCTACAGTCAGTCTGCCTCATTGACACTATGGTTTTATGAGTAAGGTCATGAAGATCACAAAGAAAATATAAGACTTGAATTTATTTTGTCAAATGCAATATTTATCTCTTCATGTGGTTTACTAAAGTTGATATTTTGACTTGAAAATATTAACTTTGTCAGATCACAAGATGAAATATTATTAAACATATTTTATTGTCCAAAAAGACAAAGGGCAGCACTTATTACCACCTTCTCCCTATATACAGTTATACATAATATTGCATAATGAAAATGAACAATTTACAGTTGAAGCTTCACATTGTGGAAACATAGTGCGCAATATATATACAGTGCTCATATGAAGGATATGTACAATGTGCTGGAAAGTGAAGACAGTGTGCATCTCATACATATCCTAATATTATACATTTTAGTGTTGAATATAGATTTAACAATATTTATGATTAACAGTTTGGAAACAATAATATGCTAGCTACTGAATCTGTTAGTCGTTTCTATAAATTTGTGTACAGACAAGAATATTTTTGTATTCAGGAAAACATCTAAGTTTGAATCACCAAAAAGAATACTATGTAGAGTATTTTGTCCTCCAAGATTATCGATAGCTGTCAGTAATGTCTCCCTAAAATCATCATATAAGGTACATTCGAAGAAGAAATGGAATGAATTTTCACAAGGAGCATGCTATACAAGGAGCATGAGATAAATTCATGCTATCATCGTTATTTGACAAGGAAAACAAATTTCTTCTATGTATTTATATTTTTTTATTTTTCTCGTTTTGATTGAATTATAAAAAAATATCAAAATGATCACAACACTTGACATGATTGAAATAAACTAAAGTTCTAAAGATTGTTAACAATAGTAAAATATTACATCAAAACTAAATAATTATTGCAAAATGACACAGTAAGCACAACTATATTCTTATATATAAATTGATTTGATTAATAATCAATAATACATGGCAATTGCTTGCACCCAAAAATATCTTTTTGTTTTAAAAGTTTCAAAACATGTTTGTGGACATAAAACCAGATGGGTTTCACAATTAAACAAAGGGAATAAATGAGTTATGATTGCAATACGCATGGGAATTAAAAATAATTCTTTTTATACTTTAAGTTTTTAGTAATGTCAATATCAATTTATGCATTTGAAATATTTGAACACAAACTGTTAAAAAGTTATCTGTTTCTGTAAATTATATAAAGATCACATGTAGATTGAACATTTACTGGCCATTAATTAGTTGGGTTTTTGTTCATTTCATGGCATGATTAAATTGGTACAGTAAAGTAAATATCATTTTTGGTAGAAATATTAATTGTTACCAAAATTGCAGATCAAACTGTACTTTACTTTAAAATTTACACACCATTTATGTAATAATTCAATTGAAATATTACACCTCATGCTATCTAATCTGTCAACATTGACAATCAAAATAACAACTGTTCACAATCCCAACAGCACAAGTAAATCTAGAGGTCTAATATTTTATTGGAATGCATTTGAGTCCATTACAATTTACATCAAATACACAACTGATGCAAACTTCTGATTTGTTATGATTGTAAATACTCAGTAGGTTACAATTTGATACATTATATCAACATATCAATTTAGTTAGTTTCTGACATATATCTAGATATGGTCAAAAGGTCAATATTTCGACTTCAAATACAACCTGCAAAGTTATTTAAACTCACAATAAATAGTTTGGCTTAATGGTGTGTAAACAATGAATTATTTTTTACAAGATTTCAGTAGAATTTGTATTAAGTCTGTTCAGCTACCATAAACTGTACTGGGAGTTACCAGGTGGTCATGGATATTTTAAATTGAAATCACAACAGAACGGCCAGACTCAAATTTATATCGGTAAGGAGACCAGATAACAGTAGAATAGTTTGTCAATAAGAATAATGTTCAATACTTACGATAAATGTACCGGGATGGTTAAATTGTCACAGTTTGTCCGGATTGCATGCCTTGTTGACATCTCCATGTGTTTCATGTCCTATCCAGCCTTCACCTTCTGCTCTCCAAGCCTCGCTTTCAAACCGGAAGTAGCGAAGTGTGAAAAAGGTCAATAGTGTACCAGTATTGTGAACTTTTATTGCAAAAGCGGCACGATAATTTTGTTAATGCCTCAAAGTGGCGTGATCATATTGCAATAGTGCTGCAAATGCAGAAATGTTTCACAAAACTAGGGGAACTGTACTGTACCATTACATAGCAGTAATATGGTAGTTTTAGAATTTTCGAAGCTTTAAGGAAATGTCAGTAAAGGGGCTACAACTGTTTTGCTTGTATAACACCTCTAGTTGATCATAAGTAATACTATGCATGTCTTCCTTTGCACCTCATTCAACTAAAGATTAAAACATTTTCTTGCATAAAATTGTATATTCCTAAAACTGGAAAGGTATGTCTTTATTTCAGTGCATTTATTGATATTCACCTATTCGAACATTAAGAATTTCAAAGACAAATGACATGCACAACTCCTAACTGCCACAGTCTTGTTGTTTTTTAAGGGAAATACACCACAAGCAAAGGCTGTGGCAAGGAATCTTTCTGAAAAGCTGGCTTCCCTCAAAGTGAAAATACAAGATGTCCTGGTCAGCCAGGTAAGATTTTGTTACACACATGTTACAGACCTCAAGAACATTTCATGTGCTATATGGAACAAAAGTGTGAAGACAAGCTGTTTACTTATGATGTCTTGTTGTCCTGTTTTGAATTCCATTTTGGCATGTTACATTAAAATTTTCTCCACAATGGCAGGACTTTTGTTACTTAATCTAATCACCCACAACTACAGAGATTGACAAAATGAAATAATAATATTTTTCAGGTTGCTGAAGATTTTATTGACATTTCCACTCCTCTCAAGCAGTTGTCAGAGGCTGCTGTGGTACCACTAGGTAAGTTATTATGGTAATTAAACAGCCCCAACATCATCTACACAAGATTAATGTCACATTAAAGAGTGTTTGTAAAGTGCCGTCTTCACTGAACTGTCTTTTTCTGCAGATATTTCTTTAGCCTTATACATGTAGTTTTTATATTATTTGAATACATATGTATCACAAGTGATGATCTTGGGGGGATTCAACTTCCCCCATCCCTTTTGAAAATCACATATGAATAGCATCACATTGTACAGAAAAAGTGTTTACATGTGCCCCAACTAAAAGACAAAATTATAAATGTGAACCACCAACACTTTAAAATATCCTGGATCCACTCCTGCTGAACACAATTATCTACTTTTAATGAGTAGCATATGCCCTCTTTTCATTGTTACGAGGCTGGCTGAAGTGGAATATCTCAATCGGATTGAAACAAACTTTTGCCACCAACAAATACAATCATTTAATGAATCATAGACATAAAAACTGCAACTGTAGTGTTATTATTGTCTTTGTACCAGACCATCTTGTGAACCTACCCATTGAAATCACCAGAAATGGACAAAACTGGCTATAGGGCAGTCATCAAGTACCTGCAACTGAAAGGGCTAACTCCAACACAGATAGATGCTGACATGGTCTCCACTTTAGGGGATGATGCCCCTTCCACCTGATTTGGCCCCGTCAGACTTCCACCTGTTTCCCAAAATGAAAAAGGAACTAGCCGGTCGCCATTTTCCTAGTAAAGATCACGTCATTTCTGCTGTGAATGACTTTTTTAGGGTGGCTGACGAAAATTTCTTCTTGACCGGCATCCAGGCCTTGCAGCATCGCTTGCAAAAGCTGACTTGGTTGATCCATGTCATCGTATCTCACTTGTATGGATTGATGCTCATGATATCAATCACTGGATTGTCTGGTCCAGACTCAATTATTTACACACTGCCATCATATAGCTGGAAAATTGCTGAGGGCAGTGTTAAGCAACCAAAAATCAAGACACTTAAGAAGGTAGGATAAGGTCCTCTTTTTCATTCCGGATGTGCATAATATAAAAAAATTACGAGAAACCTCTCAAGCTTGTTATCACAGTTATAGGAAATGTTTTTATGAAGGAGAACTAGACTTTGTTCAATTCAACTTGTTAGAGTGTTTGACTTATACCCATGCATAATTCCTGCGAATTCCCCACCTCTATTACATCATAGCCATAAATCCTGTATTTTGGCTGAAGACACACCATAACTAAATCTTCAGATTTTCAACAGAAGTCCTCTTCGCTGTCAACTACACAACTTGTTTCCCTAATAGCACATGTAGCTCTTCTGTGCAAAAAGGCAGGTAAACATCACTTCTTTCCTGTGTGTGCTAGAGTCAATACCTGTTGTTGTTTTTTTGCTCTAGCACTTGGTATAGGTAGTCACACTGTTTATTTAATTTCTAAAGAAATACTATATCATTTGGTTACGATCTGGATGGATATGTAAGTATACTGGGGTTGGTTGTTTGTGTGTTTTCACTTATTATGGCGTCCTCCACTTCCCTGCTGACGTGTCAGAAGTGTGGGTAGTTTATGATTACTGGCAATCCACACAACTTCCGCTGTAAGTGCAGAGAAGCTTCATGCATGGTAGAGGCACGATGCGACCTGTGCTCTCCCCTCTCCAAGTCCTTCTTGAAGCTAGACGCCTCCATAGTAAAGGCCTCCATTGACCCCTTCGACACCCCAACCAGATCCAGCCTCTGGAGAAGTTTTTTCGCTTTACAGCAGGCCTCCATGGAAGAGTTATAAACACCCGTCTAGCGGCCATCACTTCAGAAGTCGATAAACTGAAGAAGTTGCAGGTGCAGAAGTCTTCCCCTGCCAAGAGGCCACACAGGGTTAAGCAGTTGACAGTGTCTAAGTCATCAGCAACGAAGTCCAGCACACCCAGATCACGACTTCATGACGATCACCAGGGTAGTGGCAAGCACGCCTTACCCCCTCAAAGCCAACCAGCCAAGCCGCCGAAGATACCGTACAGCTCGCACACGGACTGCACTGACTGGATGGGCTGATCTGAAACTTCTGCTACTGTTACTAGAGCAAGCCGGTCACCACGTGACTCCCGCACAGGCTACCCGGGAGTGGCTAGACAAGCCAACGGTTCATGCACGGACGGAACGAGGACCGAGCTCGGAATGCATCAGGAGCGAGCTCAGACTTCATGTCACCAGGCCAGCTATCCGGATCCCGTTAGACCTGACCATCAGCCAGCGTGTCAACCAATTCTTTGACATCTCATGTCCACCGTACTCTACCGTGGTCAAGCTGTACCAGCAGGATCCTTTACTAAATGGATGATATGATGCAGAAGCTCAATCACGAGGACGGGCTTCCCCTCCCGACTATGAGGAAGAAATCATATCAGACTCATGCATCACCGTTCCCAGAGACACAGCCACTGGATGATGAGTTCAGCAAACTGGCTAAGACTCCTAACACCAAACTCACTCTCCCGGCGAGCCGAGTCAAGGATTTATCTATGGTCAACAAGTATTCCCTGGACATTGGTACTTATCTGAACTGGTCCATCACCGGAATTCGACACCTCTACCAAAGTCTTTTGATGATGTCCCAGCAGAAACACCCATGTCCATCCGAATGGACCAAGTGTCTACTAGATGTGATCGTCCGCATGCAGGAGGACATGTTATCTACACAAGTATGGACTGCCTCCCAGCTCCTATGGCTTCAGCGACAACAACTCCTGTTCCAAGTCAGATCAAGGGCTGTTTCCAAGCATGCTAAACAGACAGTCATGTCATAGCCAGTCACATCATCAACACTCTTTAACAACTAGCTGGGAAAGATTTTGGATGAAGTCAGACAGGACACGACAGAGAGATTCCAAGTATCTACCATCAACTTGGCAGTCAAGGCACATGGTTTGCATGCACATTACGACCGACCACTGGATTTTAGACATTATCCATCATGGGTACAATCTACATTTTCTCAAGCACCCTTGACTTGTATCCAGTCCAGAGGGAGGCAGGTTTCACCTGAAGGGTGCCAAATTGGACGCAGCTGACCTTGCCATCAAGACCCTTCTCACAAACAGGTCATTCAGAGATTGCGGAATACCAACGAAACTCGGGGGTTCTCCTACCCGGTATTTTTAGTAACGAAAAAGAACTCCAGAGAGATGAAAATGATCATCTATCTCAAAACACTCAACAAGAAGTACTTGGTCCCGCCTCCAAGATTTCAGATGGAATCGGTCAGGAAACTACGTTCATCACTTGGAACAGGAGATTGGGTCATCAGCCTCGACCATGTGCCAATCCATCGCACGTCACGAAGGTACCTCCGTTTTGCAGTAAACGACCATCGTTACGAATTCCGGGTTTTACCGTTTGGCATATCAATAGCCCCTTGGCTATTCAACAGAATAACGGCTCCAGTCATCAACTTCGCCCATTTACACATGGTATGACTTCATGGATATCTAGACGATTTCATGGCTGCCAATCAGGAACACACCCAGCTGCTTCAGGAAGTGACATTCCTCACGAAACTCATGTCTTATCTCGGATTCCTCATCCATCCGACCAAGTCAGAGATTTGTCTGGTACAAGACATAGTCTACATAGGGGCCAGATTTCTTCTAATACACGGGATATCTTTGCCACCCGGAAGACCCGGTTTAACAAGTACATCACCATGATCAACTTAGCACAAGACCGACCTACCAGATAGATCAGATGGTGGATGTCTACCATGGGAACGCTGTCCTCTCTACAAGATATGACTCACAGAGGCCGATTACAATTACGCCCGCTGCAGAATTAGATTAATTCCCTACGATCTCAGATCCTGGATACACAGGTACTCATACCTCTCCACCTACATCAAGATCTCATCTTGTGGTCTCAAAGAGATCATGTCATGTCGAGGAATCCGCTCACCCTACCAGCTCCCGAACACCACCTGTTCACAGATGCTTCGTACTCAGGTTGGGGAGCTCACATGGATGACCTCCAAGTTCAGAGTTTATGGACCGAGACGGAAACAGCTCTACACATAAACTGCAGAGATGAAAGCAATCTGTTATGCTCTCCAGACTTGGAAAGATCGTCTTATCAAGTCATCCTTCATGATTGCCACAGACAACATGACAGTGGTGGCCTACATTCAGAAACAGGGCAGAACAAAGTCCCGTTCATGGAAACTACTCAGCTATTTGCCTTGGCCGACTCATTCAGCTGCCGGAAGGATGCGAGACCAAGCAAACCGAGCATACTAGCGGACAGCTTATCCTGGAGAGGGAGGATCGTACACATGGAGTGGACTCCTCAACCGATGTCTTAACCTGGATAATCTCCATTTTGGACATCCCACACTTGACCTGTCTCAACCATCAACTTTCGGTTTACGTCAGCCTGGTTCCAGATCTGAGAGCTCTCCAGATGGATGCACTATCCATGGATTGGACAGGCCTGTTCACCTACGCGTTCCCTCCATGGTCTCTCCTAGACAAGGTCATACAGAAGTTGGAAGTGACAGATTGCACACACATGGTGTCCCAGACTACTATCGCTCCTGATGGACGAGCCACTCCCTCTTCCACTTCGCAAAGATCTCCTGTGTCAGCCCAGGTCGGGCCTATTTTACTCCAATCTTCCCAGCCTCCATCTCACCGCCTGGAAAGTATCTCGCAGAGAATGCAGGCCTCCGGGTTCTCTCAAGCTGCCTCCACTGCTGTCACAAGATCATGGAGATTGTCATCCACCCAACTTTATGACAACAGATGGGACAAATTTGTGGATGTGGTCTAAATATGTCACAGTGGACATACCCATGGTTGCGAATTTCCTTTTACATATATGACAGGATAATAACTTACGACATGGAACTATTGACAGATATAGATCCGCCCTCCATTCCGTACTCAAGCTCGATGGATTGATGATTGGAACAAATCTGGTACAGATGATGCGAGCCGGGAGGAAATTCGCATTCCCAGGAT